GCTTTACAAGACAGGTGCTTAAAAGATAAGAGTGCTGTTAGAGATAAAGATAAAAGATAAGATAAAGTGCTGTTAAAAATAAGAGCTCAGCTTTTTTCCGAAACTTTCTGAGATTTTATCACATTTATAGATTTTTGATATTTAAGGTATCCTACTACGTTTGGAACCGTAATTTTAAAAAGGCGCATAAATAGATAATTTTCATGATATTTAGTGTCATTTAGATTAGAATACATTATAAAATTATTTCAAGGACATTTTGACAAAAAAAAAGTTATTTGAATACATTATTTCGGCTAAAAATTAACTTAGAATAACCTTTTTTCAAAATGTTCTTTCGTGAAAAATGCTTCTATTACAGTAGCGCACACAGAAATTTTTCAAGGGGTGTTCCGGGGTCGAAAGTTCCCCAATCTTGTATCAGGCTCCTTTTGATTTTGTCGATTTTCGGGAACAAAACATAGTAAAAAACTAATTATTGAATAAATAATTAGCATTAATTAATAAAATTAATCATTAATAACAAATACTTAATTAAATTTTACGTACTATATACTTAGAATTATAATCAATCGGAAAAAAATCAAGGGCTTTCGGGGGGTTCCGGACCCCCAGGACCCCTCCCTTGTGTGCGCCACTGTTCTATTATAATAATATTTTGTCTGTATATAGCTCATACCTCTGTACAGAGGCTCAACTATGATTTTTGAAAAATTCACATTATTTTCAGAGTTACAACCATTTGAAATAATTATCGGCGTTTTTTTCTTAAAATTTCTACCCTCTGCTGTGTCGTAAAACATGGATAAACCCACTTCTAAGTTATATATTTCAAAAATTCTAGTTGAGCCTCTGTACAAAGGTTTGAGCCACATACAGGCAAAATATTATTATAATAGAAGCATTTTTCACAAAAAGAGAACATTTTGAAAAATGGTTATTCTAAGTTAATTTTTAGCCGAAATATTGTACTTAAATAATTTTTTATAGTAATACTATTCTTAAAACAATTTTATATACATTTTCTAATCTAAGTGACACTAAATATATGAATATTATCCATTTATACGCTTTTGCAAAATCACGGTTTCGAACGTAGTCGGATACCTTAAAATTATATACTTAAAATACAGTGAAATTTTTGAAAATTCGTTATTTTCAGAAATTTTTATCTCAAATGGAAATTAGATATATCAGTGAAATGTTTTAAATATCAAGAATAACAGAAAAAATGGCGTTTTTTTACGATAATAAGTAGATAAAGCAATTTTATTTTAAATTGCCTCAAATTCAAATGGGAGGCCACTAAAATGCCTTCAGCGGGCCATTCGAGCTCGCGGGACACAGGTTGAAAACCCTTATTTTAACACATGCGCGTAAAATCAAACTCCTATGTGTGCGTGCGCGTTGTGATGCATTGTTAGCATGTCAGCAGTTATTCAGTGTACTTATTTATATTTAATTCATTAAAAATATTTTACTTATAATAAATGATTAACCAGTATGCACAATAAACATCGAGATTTATTTTAATTTGATCGGCAAATGTTAAAAGAAAAAGATAAGACAGCTAATTTATTTCTGTGACGGTTTTCAAAAGATCCAATTCATTCGGAAAAAAAAAATACAAAACCTGATCATTTATCAAACCCCAATTGAAAATTCACAATGATCCTTAAATAAATCCTTGCTTATTTATTTAAAAAAAAAAAAAGATCATTTATCATTTCTGACAAGTAATTCCTTTTAAATCGAAATTGAATTCCAGAGCTCGTTTAAATTGCAGCTCTCCAGATTAATTCAAATGATTTGTCAAATAAATCTCAATGCAGGTAATCAGTATCATGAGTGACAACATAAATATTTATTTAGAAGTACTGTAAATATCACTTTTTCTTTTACATTTAAAAGAATATTTGTAGCTGTATTTGTAACTGAGAATATTAGAGTGGAGCGAATTTTTTTTCCCCTTCATAATTTAAAATCTTACTTATTCTACAAGATGTCCTCTGGTATATAGAGGAAGGAAAAGTTAAAATAATAAATCAATTGTTATTTTAAATACTCAATAGGGGAGTTAGTCAATCAATAGGGATTCCTGTTAAGTAATGTTGTTATGTACATTGTACCATTCACTATTTAGTACTCATTCACCAATAATCCTTGCTTTTGCTTAATTATATCTTAAAAATTAGTGTTTATAACTTTTAATCTAAAATCATCCATCCCAAAGTAAATCTACTTCCAATTTTTTGAAAATTCAATCTCGTTGTGGTAATATTAAACCCTTAAGCAATCAAGTATTTTGCCCAAAATGTTCTGAAAAAGGGCTCATTTTTTTATATTACAAATAACTAAGCATAACGCTTAACAGAAAGCGAAAATAAAAGACTTTTATTTTAATTTTCAATTTTAAAGTACTGACACTATTTTTTATTTTATAATTGTGGAACACGAAACCCTAAGCGCGTTTGCTTTTCATAAGTACACATTCTATATGCTATAAAGAATATTTCATACATCTTAAAAGAGTTTATCTCATACTTACAAAAAAGTTTCACGCTCTAACCTCTTTTTCAAATGGTTGAGAGTTTTGTGTGTGCGCATGTATGCACACGCAATTTGAAGAATATGGTGTAATACTGTCTTACATTACAATGGAGACTGAGATAATATTGGCTTTTTAGATTATCTTTCCATTTTCATTTCTTCTCAAGCAACGAATTGCACATTGCTTTGCAAGTCCCTATTCTTTATCGAATATTTTCAAGAATCTAAATGTCTACCTTCAATGAAAAGTTCCCACCCTCACCTCAAAGAAAATCTCATATGAGAATTACTTTAGTACACCATGGATAATCTCTTAAAACACTAGCACTAATAATTTCACTATAAGAATTAAATGTATGTGCAAATCAAAGAGATAGAAAGAAGAAATATCAGTGCCTGTACAGCATACGGACAAACCGGTTGCAGCCAGCTTTCGGTAGCCCGTACGGTGTACGGGCAAACCAGTTAAGGCAGTGCTTCTCAAACTTTCAATATTCGCGACCCAATATTCAATCATCTTTTTCATCGCGCCCCCTTCCATACAATAACAATGTATTGAATTCAATAATACTATACTTTGACATTAAAGATACAATACGAATTTAATGCCTCATGTGCCACCGACGTGGCACACCGTCTCGCTCAGCCAAAGCATTAATTTTCTGGACGTATATATACGTCTTTCCGAAGTACGATCTTTTCTGTGCACTGCTATCCATACAATTATTCCGAAGGCTTTGGAACGCAATAAAAGGACCTTGACAATGTTTGCGAAGGATTTACTTATTTCTGAAGATTTGCTTATTAGTTCCTCTTCTATCTCTCCTGACCCCCACAAAAAAAAACATCAAATTACGCACAACTACGTGGTAAACGGTGGCATTGGGGAGAGAATCGGGTAACTTTTAATTGGCAGTAAATGAATTAATTATAATCCGTACAAATTATCAAGGTAAATGTTAATACAAGCCCATGGGGTCCCTGGTAATTATCCACTTGTTCTTACTTTAGTATTGTTAAGTTAATAATAAAATACATTGTACAGTACTGATGCATTTATAAGTGTATTATATTCGTATAAATGTGCGTTTTATATTTTATTATATCAGAAAGCATTTTGTTTGTTTACTTTCAGTAAATTAATAATTTTTTGAATAATTTTTTGTTTTCGACTTTTCAATAGGCTCGCGCCCCCCTCGTACAGTTATCACGCCCCCCAAGGGAGGCGCGCCCCACATTTTGAGAAACGCTGAGTTAAGGAGTTAATTTTTTTTAAAAAAAAATGAACTATTTTTCTCTTAGTCTCAAAACTATAGAACATCATTTCCGCATAAGTACGTTTCGATTTATAATATTTTTTACCCTCCATATAATCCACTCTAATGGATATGTTTGCTTATACAGAATGACATAGCAAAATGTTATACATCTTTGTACTACTATATATATGTCCGTCTTAAAGAAGTACTGCTGCTGTATGAAAATGTGCTCAATCTATTCTTTCAATGAAATATCAGTTAATTTCAAAGCCCAGACAAAAGCGTTAATCAACGGCATTTACGCCCACGTAACTACAAAGGGGCGCAGTCTTTATGGGTCGTTCTCATACATCGGCATTAAGTTGACAACTTAATTTCTACAATTAATATCCATTTCGTAATGAATGTGTCAGACAACCCACTAATCATTTTGGCTTATTAAAATCTCGAGAATAAGCTTCGTGTACAGAATTTAAGATAATATTTTTGAAGATGTTTGCGGTTGATAAATCAAAGCTGTGTGCAAAAAATATTTATGACTTTAAATCAGGTATTCAGTATTTTTCAATTCCTACTATTAGTTCACTCTCTCCCTATATATATATATATATATCTTGTTCAAATTTTCAATCTTTAATAAAATACCATAAAATCCGGCGTATAACGCACACTTTTAACACGAAAAATATCGAAATTTACAGGTGCGCGTTATACGCAAGGTATAAAAATGATAGCTTTAAAAATAAAAATAAATAGATGAGCATAGCAAAATATTTACTTTTACATACTTTTATTACTACATAGAATACTATTTATTTAACAGAAATGATATATACTTAATGATTTTAAAAAGGGCTGTAGATAATATAAGTATACGATTTTTTCTAAATCCTGGGATAATACCTCGACTAAATGACTTCAAAATGTAAGAGCCTTGCATACATGCATTTAAGGCTTCTTCGTAAAAAAATGCGGTGCGCGTTATCCCACGAATATACCAAAAATTCAGTTTGAAAGTATAGGTGCGTATGATATGCTGGATTTTAAGGCCCATAACTTTTAAACTTGTAAAGGATGACCCTTAATGTTAATACGTTTTTCAAATATTAATTCATTAATTAAATTAAAAAATGAATACATAACAAAAATAGTAGTCCAACAGCATATATAGGAAGGAAAATCGTTCGGTGTGCCACTGTAGTGCAATGAACGGATAGCGCGTTGGACTTCTAATCCAGAGATCGTGGGTTCGAATCCCACCTGGGGTGGCCTGATTTCTGAGAATGTGATTTTTTTTCACTATACAATTTTATTAGAATAATCACACACACACACAATGAATGAAAAAATAGTAACAAACAAAAAAAATAGTCCAACACCCTATATAGAAAGTAAAATGGAAAATTGCAAGGAAATTGCTTTCTACTTTGCGACTTAATGCTGTGATTCCATAATATGCATATACGTATTAATATTAATTGAAATTCTTTAATAAAAAGTAATTAAAATAAAAATTTTCTTTTTTGACCGAAGTCGGAATTGACTTAAATTTTTTTTATATTACTTGTTTATGTTTTATATGATTTTTTGGAAGTATATATGAGACAGATGTAAGAGTAGGAATACGAGTTTCTGAAAAGTTAAGGCTATCTTCAGCTAATGTTAAATAATAGGGGCCGAATTCGGAATATTTTTTCAGATATAAAAGTACTCACACACACACAAACATTAATATTATATTCTTGCTTCACTATCCTGTAGAGAATCACTTATTTTATCATACTACTCATTTTTATCCGAGTTTTTTGACACATTTTTTCTTTTATAAAATGTGTTTTGCATTTTTTTTTCCTTATACCGTATTGCTAAATGAGCTTTACCTTCACATGTTAAAAAAAAACTAGTTATTTATGAAATATTTTGAAAATTTTAAAAACACTGTATTATAAACAAATGCATGAGTTATAATGTCACACATTTTTATAAAAATTGAGGCATTTTTTCTGTCCGAAAATGTGCTCCGCGTCAAGTTCACGCTCTCGTACAAAGGGCGAAAACAGCCTTAAAATAGGCTGTAATATATAAATAGGTATTTCTCTCAATTGAAAGTGTCCAAGGTAGCAGAGTCACGAACTTATGGCAGGGGTTTTCGAATCGTGGATTCACAACTCGACACATTAAATCTGTCGAGCCTCAAAGTATCCTGTTGATGTGATGGGGGGGGGGAGTTTGGACAGTAGGGTACCATCTCAGGTATCCTCGCCCAGGGCCGGCTCTAGCATTTTTGCCGCCCCGGACAAAATTGGAAAAAGCCGCTCCTCTCTCCAAAGCAAAAAATTATAATTAAAAAAGATAAGTTTTTCTTAGATGCACACCTATAAAACTTGAATAATTTTGAAACAGGAAGACAGTATTACAATTATATATATATATATATATATATATATATATATATATATATATATATATATATATATATATATATATGTGTGTGTGTGTTGTGTGTGTGTGTGTGTGTGTCAGGCCCCAGTCCTGCTGGTAAAATGATTAGGCATCATCTCTAAAGTACTTCTTTATTTTGCTTCAACCACATAAAATCTAACATGGCGGCCCTTTGCACGTAACCGAGTAGAACAATAAACAACACTTCGGCGAGGAGTCACCAGCTAAGCCTTTTCGAGTATGCGTTCTCTCTCGTTAGCGCTCGCTCCACCTTTGAATAGGCTTATTTACCCGCAAATTCTTACGCGATGGTAAAGAGTTCGCTCTATTTTCTTTATTACTTACTTAATTTTGAAGCTAAACTTTTCAAACCTGACACACACACACACATTATATATATATATATATATATATATATATATATATATATATATATATATATACCGTAAAATCCGGCGTATAACACGCACCTATACTTTCAAGCTAATTTTTTAATTGTTAGGTGTATTCGCCGTATAACGCGCACCCCCTTTTTAAAGAAGAAATCTGAAATATTAGTATGTATTGTTTTTATGTTTTGAAGTAATTAATTCGAGATACTATCCTAGACTTTTGAAAAAATAGTATACTTCTAGAACTACAACTGTTCTTGTTCATAAAGCAAGTCATTTCTTTTAAATAAACTGTGTTTCGATACATCTAGAAGTAAATTTTTTTTTGTGCCCATCATTTTTGTTATTTTTTAAGCTACCGTTTTTATACCCGGCGTATAACGCGCACCCTTAATTTTCGATCGTATTTTTGTATTCAGAGTGCGCGTTATACGCCGGATTTTACGGTATGTAAAATTTAAAAAATACAAAATAATTCTTAAGGACATATTCAAATTATTTCAAACAAGTAAAATGTAAGAGAAACAATCGCCCATTTAGTTAGGCCAATTTTTTTCGAAAGAGAGTCTAATGATGGTAAGGATCCCAAGCTTTAATTTTAGCTTATAGTTACTACACTCAAGACTTAAAAAAATATCTCCTCTTGCTCTCTATCTACCAAAAACTCTTAGTACTCCTGTCCTCTTTAGATACCTGAAGCCGGACATCGTATGGGTGAAAGGAATGTCCGTAGTGTCCCTTCTCTGGGAAGAGGAGAAAGTTACTAGTGAAAGATGAGTAGGCATATCGAATTTCATGATTTAACATATACTCCCGCCTCGAACCAACATGTTTCCTCGACGTTTCAACATAAAAGAAAACAGACGTTAAACATACAATGTACTAAATAAGGAAAAAAGATACGTTGAATAAAATACCAAATTCACATCCAATAGCATTTCAGAAAATATATTAAATTTTTGTAACAATTTTTTTTTTTCAAATTTGATCCAAACGCCGCCATTAAAATTTGCCGCCCCAGGCAGGAGTCCGGTCCTAGAGCCGCCCCTGCCTCGCCCCTGCCCTGAGGTGCATCATTAATACCTTTTGTTGTTTTACAATGCAATATACATTAAAATCAAATCAAATCTGATAATGCTAAAAGGATGGTTATAAATAAAATTACAAAATAAATACGCGGAAACAATTCTTGTAAACTCTTAATTTTTAAGCTTGTACTACTGATGTCTCGATAAAAATACTAATGTTTCTTACAGTTAGATTTGCGTATATTTCTTGGATGAATATATATGCTATGTTTTATTTCCAGTTTTTTATTTTACGTACGTTCAAGAATTAAAGCACATACCGTAATGTCTGGCTCATAACGCTCACCTATACTTTCAGGCAGCATTTTTTAATTTTAATGTATATTCGCCGTATAACGAGCACCCACTTTTATACGAAGAAAACCTGAAATGTACGTACTGTTATGTTTTGAAGTCATTTATTCGAGATATTTTAAGAAATAGTATATTTCTTAATAGCTTAAAAAGCTCTTAATCTTCCAAGTTTTTAAAAAATGGTATATTTCTAGAACTACAACCCTTTAAGGTATCCGACTACCCTCGGAACCGTGATTTTGCAAAAGCGTATAAATGGATAATATTTAAGATATTTAGTCTCACTTAGATTAGAAAATGTATATAAAATTGTTTTAAGAATAGTATTACAATTAAAGATTACTTAAATGCAATATTTTGACAAAAAATGAACATAGAATGACCCATTTTCAAAATATTCTCCTTTTGTGAAAAATGCTTTTATTATAATAATAGTTTGCCTGTATATAGCTCAGACCTCTGTACAAAGGCCGAACTAGAATTTTTGAAATATATAACTTAGAAGTGGGTTTATCCATGTTTTACGATAACAGAGGGGAGAAATTTTAGAAAAAAACGCCGATCATTATATATATTTCAATTGGTTGTAACTCTGAAAATAATGTGAATTTTTCAAAAGTCATAGCTGAACATCTGTACAGAGGTCTGAGCTATATACAGACAAAATATTATTATAATAGAAGCATTTTTCACAAGAGGAGAACATTTTGAAAAAAGGTTATTCTAAATTAATTTTTTGCCGAAATATTGTATTTAAATAACTTTTTTTGTTAAAATGCCTTTAAAACAATTTTATTCATGTATTCTAATCTAAGTGTCACTAAATATCACGAAAATTATCCATTTATGCGCTTTTTTAAAATCACGGTTCCGAACGTAGTCGGATACCTCAAGTTCATAAGAGGTATGAAGCTTCTTTTCAATAAACAGTATTTCGTTATATGTAGATGATTAATTTTTTTATGCCCATCTTTTCTTTTGTTTTTAATGCTATCATTTTTATACCCAGGATATAACGTGGACCCGTAAATTTTGATCTTATTTTTTGTGTTAAAAGTGCGCGTTATACGCAGGAGTTCAGGTATATAAATGCATATGTAAAGCCTTTCCTTTTTACATACTTGAAATGTTAGCAATAAAAATTTAAAAATTATAGAAGAAGATTTTCGAAAACATTGTAATGCAATTGTATTAAAACCTTAAAAATAAAGTAGAAAAAAGAAGGAATATATATTATGTTAAAAAAGAAAAATTAATCTAAAATGATATATTGAAATAAAAAAAAAAGCGTTGTTAATTTTTTTTTCATGAATTGTCTAAATTAACGTCGCTTGTTCTTTTTGATGCTTTCCTTCCAAGTTCATTTCGTGTCTTATAGCTAGTTGTAATAAATTAGTCCTAACACAGCATATTAAAACAAGGAAAAACAAGCAAAAGCAAATGACTTTTTAGAAAAAAGATACAGATTTCTTGCCTAGATTGACTAGATAGATTCTATTTGTTATATATTTCTCATAAATCAATTATAGTAAAAGGATAAACATATAAAAAGTCGTATACGATGTCAAAGTCATATAATAAAGCCATATGCTTTCTTATATACATTCATAAGTAATAGCGATACAATCCGTTTAGATAGGTAATAATAATGTAGTATATGTTCATAAGTAATAACAATATAATATATATGCTCATAATAATAATAGAATTATTTGATTTGACGTACTCAAAGAGAGTAAAAACTATGTTTCTTGTCTTCCCATACGCTATATTTGTAATTTAAATAAATATCACCAATTTATTGTCATGTAATCATTTCGTTATTAAAATCTTTATGAAATTTATATTATATGTTGAAGAATTTAACTATTTGAAAAGTTTCCTTTAGTAAAGATCTTTCTATATGTCTATAACGTTGAAATACCGTAAAATCCGGCGTACAACGCGCACCTATACTTTCAAGCTGCAATTTTTAATTTTTAGATATATTCGCCGTAAAACGCGCATCCTCTTTTTTACGAAGAAATTTTAAATACACTTGTGCAATGTTCATAT